GGGTCGAGGCTGCGGTGGCCGGGAGTGGCCACTGCCCTCCAGTCTGGGCGACAGAGTGAGACTCCGACTCAAAAAAAATAAATAAATAAAAATAAAATAAAATCTGAGTCTCTCCTTTGTGCCACGCCCATATGACAGATGGGGAAACTGAGTCTCAGGGAGCCTAAATCACTTGCCTGGCGGCAGCAGGGACCAAACCTAACCAAAAGTCTTACCCACCTCGACTGGCCCCACTTCCTGTCTCAGAAAAAACATGAAAGACACGTCTGCACCCAGGCGAACATGACGAGTCTTGCTGAAGGATCAACATCGTGTTTCTTTTTCTTTTTTCTTCGTTTTTTTTTTTTGGAGACAAGGTCTCACTGTGTTGCCCAGGCCGGAGTGCAGTGGCACAATCATGGCCCACTGCAACCTCGAGCTTCTGGCCTCAAGCAGTCCTCCCACCTCAGCCTCCCAGTCAGTGACCTGCGGCTACAGATGCACCCTCATGCCTGGCTTTTTACATTTTTTTTTTAGAGAGACAGGAATCTCACCATATTGCTCAGGCTGGTCTCAAGCGATCCTCCCACCTCGGCCTCCCAAAGTGCTGGGATGTCAGGCGTGAGCCACCACACCCAGCGAATCAGCAGAAAGAACCCCTTCTGTTTACTGAGCATTTACTCCGTTCCAGGCCCTGTAAGACCCACTTAGAGAGAACAGCTCTAAGTTCACTCGACCTGGCGAGGAAAGTACGACCAAGAACAAGCACAGAGTGGTCAAGTTACTCGCCCAAGCTCACCCCGCAAGTCAAGACAGGGTGGCTTGAGCCCAAGGTTTGTGCAAACAAATCCAGGGCCAAAGACTCTGAATTCACGCGGTGACTAACACAAGGTCCGCCCCCTAACCCCCTCCTCTGGCAGCCGCTGAGCTTGGCGGCGGTCCCTGGAGGCTGCCCAGCTGTGGTCCCGGCGGGGATGCCAGCTGCAAGCAGCCAGGCCTGCTTCTCCCTGGCAGCCGCGGCCGAGGCGGCCTGGGCCTTCTCCGCCTGCCTCCACTAATTGCTAATTGGCTAATTGGCTAATTGACATGGAGGGGGAGCACGTCCAGGGGGCTCCTTTCTGCCCGGCCGGCTGCACATGGGCCCGGGAGGTGAGAGCCCCCAGGTCGTGGGTCCACTGGGATCCCCCTTCTGCCCAGGGCTGGCCCATAAGGGGGTGTCGTGGCACAATGGGGGGGGGCACGGGAGCCGGACTCTGGAGAAACCTGTCGGCACTCCCGCCTCGACTAGGCACGTCTTGGTCCTCCTGGGTGAGCCTCTGTTTTCTCATCTGTAAAAATGAGGCAACCAGCTTCGCTGACCTAGAAAGTTCCTTCTGGCTCTGAGAGTCGACGGCCTTCCATTCTGGACTCTAGAATTCTGGAAGGTTCTGTGCTTACACACGCTGAGATTGCAAAATTCTAAGAGTCTATATAAAGTATTGAAAGCCTGGGCAACATAGTAAGACTCTGTCACTTAGAAAAAAAAAATCAGTGGGTGCCGGGACCCATGCCTGTGATCTCAGTGTTTTGGGCGGCCGAGGCGGGAGGGTCGATTGAGGCTGAGAATTTGAGACCAGCCTGGGCAGCAGAGTGAGACCTGATCTTTATTTTTAAAAAAACGTAAAATCAGCCAGGCA